CATTAATCACACACAGGCCTGCTAAACTTTAAAAATGTTGCTAATAATTGTAACAGAATTACAGAAACATCTTCAGTGGTCAAGAATCTTTTTTGCACAGTAACCTTAATGAACAGAGTGTGTACCCTGCACAAACTCTACAAAATGCATGCTTTATCTACTAAGCATGAATTTTAGGTGTTTGCTGAGGTCCTTGCATCTTTATGGTGCTAGTTATGTGTGAAGGGTGCAAGGACCAACTCAACAACTTAATCTCCTTTGCCTGAGAAACCACAAGCCTGTTATTCACAAACATTTGGAGAAGAGGCTCTACCATACTTGGTATGTATGTGTACCCTACATGGTTTGTCTGTCTTACTTATAATGCAAGCTACTGGCTTTTGTATTTTGCAAGATTTTTTGGCTTTTACCATGGAGCAAGAATCACAAATGTACTGGATTCAGATAATCAGTATTCTGTTGGCTGGTATCTATCCTCTGTAATTTATTACAAAGTCATAGTTTAGAGCTCTTAATAGATAAGTATGCATGTCCCTTCTCCTCCTGATGTTGCAGGTCATGCCAACACAACAGCTGTAACTTTCTACTGAAATGTTAATGTATAATAAGAATGGAAAATATTTATTTTTTTTTCTCTTGTAAATTGACAATGAAAACAATAGTATGTACTATATTCTTTATATACAGTCATTGCTACATATAGAACTGATTGTACAAAGAGTAAAGCCATTGCAAATAAGTGTTTGAGCCTGCACTGCTGAGCAGTTCAAAACAGCTTGTTTTGACTTGTGCATTTTAGTATTTAAAGTTTGTCCTGCACAAACAGCAGAATAGTATTAGGTATCTGGAAGCCTTCTTTTATTAAAAAAAAACAAAAAAAACCAAACAAAACCACAGAACATCCCTAAACCAAAACTGGAAGTGTGTGAGCTGTTTTTGAGAAGGGGAGGGGGCACTGAACCAGAATCTTGGCATCAGGAACCTGTGGCTGTTACTTGATACATTCCTCATTATGTGATTAATTCTTAAATTTTTTTTCTTAATTTTTTTCCTCCTTTGTGTACCCTGTGGGATCCTCTTGGCAGGTCTTGAGGGCTTTGCCAGCTGTTACTCAGCTCCTGGCAGAGTTTGTGTCACTGCTTGTGAGAGGTGGGCAGCACATCCTCAGAGATGCTGAGACACCTGTTCTGTGCAAAGGGGGCTTAAAAGCTGTGCTGTGTGAAGCACCTCTCAGACCTATCCCAGTGAGATGCTCAGGCACCCTTGAAATCTTTCCCAGCCTTCAGTGCATCTATTACATTCCTTCTCTGACCTGCTGGGATCTGTCCAGCAGGTCGGGTTGTGGCACAGCCCCTGCCCTTTGGGTGGTGTTAACTTTTTATAATAAGAACTACATGTACTTGTTTTACAATAATTTTCCAATACCTGTCACCTATGTTAGACAATCTGTCTCTATTCTAAAGCAATCCAGAAGTGCCACCATCACAGCAGAAGATGGAGGACAAGAAGAAGGAGAAGAAGGACAGGACACAGATTCCTCCATCTTGCTTCTTGAACTCCCATTCTAAACCCCCAAAATTCTACTTTTTCACCCTGTGATAAATTGACCATCATTCTACTCAAACTCTTTTGGCTTGTAAATCTTCACACAAGGTTGGTAGTTTTTTCCATGGACTAAAATTGAAGGCACAGGTGTTTTTGAATCTGTGCCAAGGTCTCTGAGCCCCTTGCCAGGGTCTCGAGTCATCCAGGGCAGCCAGAGGAATGTCCTGGGTTCCAACATCCACCCACTGTGATGATTTTACTGGGCAGTTCTGAGCAGTGTTGGTGTTTTCTTGCTGATTCCTTTTTTTCTGAGTAAGTTGTGTCAGCAGCTTCCTCCAAACCTGAGGAGCTTCCACAGCTCTGCTGCTGTGCCAGTTCTTGGAGCTGAGCTCACGGCTTGGGCATGCTGAGCAGCTGTCACTCAGCCACTGGCAGTGCAGGGGGGATAGAAGGAACCAAAGAATTTGGGATCTGACAGGGGAAAGTGCCCCCTCCTGCTCTGGAGTGCTTGTTGGGAAACCAGTGTGGTCCAGGGCAGAAATGGCTTTGCTCCAGCCAAGAGACTGCTACAGAATTTTAATCCAGAGATGTGGGAGCTATAGTGGGGGGAGACAGAATTTCTCTCTTGATTTTGGAACATTTCCTTCTGGCCCACCCAAAGACTGGGCTCTGCATCTGTAGTATTGGTTGCTGAATGACACTCCCACATGATGCCTGTACTTGGGTGTGTGCATATGTATATTTATATATGGATGTTGTATATATATTTATATATGTAGCTGGATGGTGGGGGAGCTGGCCATGACAGAGCTGCTGTGTTATGATACACAGTTGGATGCTCCCTCCAAAGTTTCTCCAAATAACTGGGCCTTCATGTATTTTCCATCACACAGATCTTGTACCTTAACTGTAAACCTGCAGCAAAGTCTTGGTCACAGCAGCTGCCAGCTGAGCAAACACTTGCTGACTCCACATTTGTCTCACACCCCTGGAATTACACCCCACAGCCTGGAGTTTGCACTTTGCTTCTCAGCTGTATCCATTATATCAATCTCCCAGATCCCAGCTTTGACACTTTGAACAGCCAACAATTGCTTCCATACAGTTCTTGGGGAAAAAAAAGCCAGCCCTGGCCTTCCCCTCCCTCTTGCAGCCTGTAAACTGCACCACATGCAGGACTTTGCTCTTTCTGTGTGCCCTCAGATTCTCTCTCAGAATCTATGTCCAAAATTGAGAAAACTCCAGCAGCTGCTCCCTCGGAGAAGGTCCTGGAAGAAAGAGCCAATGCTGGACTGTACCTTTCTTTTGTAACCTCTAAACTGCACTGAGGTGATGCACTTTCCCTTCTTCAGGATCCAAACCTGAAGCCCTCCCTTACTTGCTCCCACTAAAGGTGCCAAGGACAAAAAAGATGTTGGCTTTTAGCTTCCCACTGTCACCATTCAGAACTCCACCCTGTATCCCTGTGTACTTCCTAGACAATTCAATGTCCTGTGGTACTGCCTCAGAAACCCAGAGGGCAGATCTGAAACCAAAAGTGTCCAGACTCTACTGGCAACATGTGCCAGGACGAAAAGAAATACATTTATTTTGAAGGCAAGCAGCTCTCCCTGGTGTTCCTGGTGCACATAAGAGGCTCCCCAGGGGAGGTAAAGGCCAGCACCTGCTTTCTTTCATGGCATTTCCAGTGTGGGAGCAATCCCCTCCCACGAGCCCTGCACTGAAATTTGAGTGCTGCCTCCAGTGTTGAAAACATCCACCAGGGACTGCTCTAACACAAGTTCTCTCCAAGGAGCTGCTGCTGCTGCTTTGTGCCTCCCCGGGGCAGCACCTCCTGCACCACCAGCGATGGGGTGAGGTGCTGTCCTCAGCAGGTAAAGGCATCCTCATCCTCTTTCTGGAGCTCACCTCCAGTATTTGGATACCAGTTCCAAAACTGTGTGTATCCAGGGATCTCTTTCAGAGAAGCCTTTCCAGAACAGAAAGCTCAGTGGTTTATACCTCCCTAGGGAACCCTGTAATGTCATCCTTTTCTTTCAGGTGGCCAGCAGCTGACAAGGACAAGGATGGATTAATTACCACTTTATTTAAATTGACAATGATTAGATGAAAATGTAAAAAGAGAAAAATGCACAATGGCAAAACTCCAATCTGGTCAGAGTTATTTACTACACAATTAAGCTGCTGATACAGTGCTCTATTTATTGCACCAATAACATAGCCAGTTTAATATTAACTATTAATCAGAGATTGATGTTACATATGTCACTGATCATGGGCAAGCCTCTCACCCAGCCTCCAGAGCTGTCCCTGGGGGATGTTCCCACCCAAGGGAAGGATATTCTTGCATCTCAAGGAGATATGCTGGGGAAACGGGGACTGATCTTTTCTAGTATGAAGAGGTTGATTGTCCTGCAGCTTTTAGATTCTGTGTTGTCCTCAGCAGAACATGTTTGAGTCAGGTGTTACCAGCTCTTTGGTTTCTGCTCAAAGCTTCCATCTCTCACTTCCCTACCAGGCTCTTCCTCATTCCTGTTGATGCCCACCTCAGTCAGGAGGGGCCTAATTTAAGAGAGTTTGGTCAAGCTGGTCTCAGCATTCTTCACCTCTGAACCCAGTGTTCTACTAAACCCCCTGGTTTTTAATCCATCACCAAAAATTTGTAAATAGGACAAAGAAGGGGTTCTTTAAAGATGTCCCAGCCCTTCCAAATGGAATAGCTCCAGTGCCCCTGCCCCTCATAATGCACTTGCTTGTTCCTCACAGCAGTCCTGTGGTCCCAGGAACAGGAGAGCTTCATCTCCATCCCTTACAGAGACAGTGAGACCCCTCTGGAGCTCTGTCTGTGTCTCCAGCTCCAATGCCTCTGTTCCCACTGCTTCCACCTCTCCCTCTTTGCTGACTGGTTTTTAGGTCTGCCTCATATCCAAGGTTTCATCCATTATGTGTAGTTCTGTCACCTTAGGGCAAATGGAATCTCTCTGGAGAAGTGGGAAATCAGGTGGATGCAGCAAAAACACTCTCCCACCTTTGAAGAAGTCATGAAGGTCAGCATGGACTCTGCATTTAAGTGAGAAAAGGCCTCTAGAAGAAAAAGGATGGCATTATCTACTTAGATGTTTTTGCTTCAATTGACTGGAAATAATAGAGATCAAGGTCTGGGTAAGAGGCATCCATCCCACCCCTTCACTGCCCCACCAGCTCTGCCATGTAACCCTGCCCCTCACTTAATCTGCTTATTAAAAGCATTTCCCCAGTTTTTCTGACATTGCAGGCTCCTCCACTCATCTGCCTCACTGCTTTCTCCAAGGGACAGGTTTTACCCTGCCTTCCTTTCTCAAAGTCCTTTTTCTGCACTTTTTGGCCTCAGTTTCTGGAGTTCTGTGGTTTTTGCTGTGTGCCCAAGTGTGTTTAAGAGGAGTAAATATTCCATATGAAGAAGAAGTCCATTGCTCCCATGGACTACAGACAAAAAGGTAAAATTTAAAAAATGAAACTGCCTGGGAAGTGTCATCATTTTAGGTCATTTATGTTACCTTGGCATTTCCAATCTCCTTCAGATGGTGGAGGTGGTTTGCCCTGCAGTTTGATTGCTCTCATCCCTGGATGTCTGTGGGACTTTTCTAGGCCCACTGGTTGTCCCCTGTCACATCCTGGCCTGCCTTGGCCACCAGCCGCCCTCGTGTCCTCTGCTGTGACCACCTCAGGTGTGGGTCACTGTGGCTGGCTCACTGTGCAAATCCAAGGGGACTCGAGGCTGTGCAGGTGGATGGGCACAGGTGTCCCCTGCTGCCCTGAGCTGTCACCCAGTGCCACTGGGCCCTGCCCAGGAACCTGCCTGGCAGCTCGGGTGCGGGGACAGCCGAACTCTGCTGCCAGTGCCCCGGGGCTGCCCCTGCATCTCCCGAACAGCTCCCATGTGACTCCAGGTCACAGGGTTTGGCCACACCTGTGCCACTCACAGCTGTCTTCATCTGTCAGCAGGAAGGAAAGGAAAGGGCAGGAAGGGGAGGAAAGAGGAAGAAACGAGAGCAGGAAGGGCAGGAAAGGAGGGAGAGAGAGAGGGAGAGGTGAGTAGGCTGCATTCAGCAGTGAGGAGCAGAGTGGCCGATAAGCACCGCGCCAGAGGCTTCCGATGTCTTCCTCAACTTCCACCAGCACTTTGCCCAGCGGCCTGGCCGTCCTGACGACCTTCCCAGATGTGCTCTTCATCCCTGAAATCGTGAGTGCTGCCTTGTCCCTGAGGGGGGGCTGTGGCTGCTGCTCGGGCACTCAGCACAGGTTGTGCTGCAGGTGTCCGAAGGGTGACACTTGTCCCACGCCAGGTCCCTGAGCCACAGGGGGCTGGAGGGCATCTCATCCTCGGGGAAAACCACGGGCTCTGAAGCTCTCCTTTAGTGTGCAGTGGGATTTTTCTGGAGTCCTTGAAAAACGTTTGAATTTCCTGCCTGAAAACACAGCAGGCGCTGCCGGTGGGTTTAAGCAGGTGCCAAATGGAGCTGGTTAATGACCGGAGGTGATTTTAGCGGATAGCACAGGCAGAGGATGAGCTGCTGGCTTGGAGCAGGGGATTAGGGAGCGGGGGGAATTGCTGGCAGCAGCCGAGGCTGCGCTTCCATGGCGGCATTCCTGAGCCGCAGGTGCGGAGCTGCTGGACCCTGGGCGTGTGGGAGAGTGAAAGGTGAGCAAAGGGTGAGCAAACACCTTGTAAACTCTGTCCACACTGTAATTTCATTGAGCAGGAGGAGATCATAATCTTAATGGACTTGGCGCTCGTGGTTTAAAGGAATTGCTCTGAGCATAGGTTATTGGATACAAAGTCTCAGCCTGAACTTTTCCCCTGTCCTCTGCCCCACTCATGAAACGTACTCTTTGCACAAGAGCTTGGGAGGCTTTTTTCCAAATTCCCAGCGCTCTGGTTGAGTACTGTAGAATGGCATGCAGATTATTTCATGCTAAAAACTTCAGTTTTGCCATCTGGCACCAAATCTTTTCCTGTCACCCAGCCTGCTCCCCCACTACTGGGATTTACAGCGTTTCCTTCATTCCCCTGGTGATAACAATGTAGCAAAGAGAATGTAGACCTGATCTGTGCCCAAGAGCAATGCCCAGGTTTCCTGGAGCTACAGGAGGGAGGATGTTGAGTGCCTGTGGAGATTTTGGCTGGGCTGACACTTGCCAGCCACCTCGGCCCCTGAGTTATGTTGGTCCTGTTGGCCTCAGAGAGCTCGTTCCCCTTGAACTGTTTGTTTGTAATCCCTGTCTCCAGGGGATTTGCCAGGGCAGCTTGCTGAAGTGAGCACACTATCCTTGGTTTGGGTAAGATCTGGAAATGTGCATCCTGAAGGCCCAGGAACCACCTAGGAAGGAGGAATGCTGCATGACTGGATTTCTCCATCTCCAGGCAGATTCTGGGCTATGCAGCCGTGTGACCTCTGCTGTGTACAGAGGAGGTGGCTGCCTTGAATCAGAGGGATAAAGAGTTTCTCATTCCTTAGTGGAATCTCAGGTTCCCTGCCATGGGCTGAGATGGTAACATAACAAAACAAAACAAAATTGGCATTTTAAATGCTAAGATAGTTGTGAAATTTTCAGAAGATCCTACCTGCAGCTCAGATGATTGCCACATTTGTATGGGCTGATCAAAAGTTACCATTTTTAATCTGTGAGGCTCAGTTTAATTCTTGTAATCTATTTAATTTGAAGAACTTTCTGCACATATGGATACCCAGACCTATGTGAAAAACCTGAAACAAGCTGAAAGCAGATATGTTTGCTTTGTAAAAGCTATTTAAAGGATGATTTTTTTCCTTAGACTGCTGTGTGCATCCTGCTGTGAGTTATTGAAAGCCTCTCAATCCTTCCTTCCTTTTTATGAATCTTCACCAATAATCAAACCAGGTCAAACAGACATTTCTGAGTGGTAAGCACAGCCTGCAGAAAGGAGAGATGGTGAGTGGTAGGAAGTGAGCTGTGGTGCTTCTTTCCCCAACCTTGTATCTCACCACAATTTGTGCATGATTTTAATGGAGCAGCCATAACGCTTTTTCCCAGGATTTTTAGCTGCAACACACTCATTGTGTCAGCCCATGAGTGATTAAAAGGACTGGATCAGTGTTCAAGGCTCAGCCTTTGGTTGTTACAGGAGGGACCACAAGAGCAGCACTTTGGAAGACCCATTTTCACTCAGGTCTTTGCCACATCTCAACCACATAATTGATGTCATGTGTCAATTTGCGTAATGGCACCAACAAACTTTCCTACAACTGCGGGGTGACACAAATGATGTAACATTTTCTGAGTTAACATAAATCAGAGACTTTCTTTCCACTTGCAGAATGATTGGAAGGAAATGGAAATGAGTATGAGCTGGCACTTGGATGCTGGCTGGGATACACTGGCCATACAAGGATCAGAATGACCTCAGAGTCAGCAAGGCTCTCCTACCTCTGGACATCTGCCTGAATCCCAGACTGGCTAGTGGTGAGGGATAGATCCCCACAACAGCACAGATCCACAGAGTGTGGGCTCAGCTGTGGAGCTCCTCATCACAGGATGCTGCACAGACTGAACTCTGCACAGGTCCAAGGAATAACTGGGCTGATTTGTGGCACAGAAAAGCTACTGAGGGCATTTCAGTGCAAAGGCACCACTTGCACTCCAGACATTCCACAACACTGAACATAATGCTCCCATCCTCTTGTGCAGGAGTCTGCTGGTGAAGGGATGGAGCCCAGACATAGCTGTCCCTGTGTACCACCCATGGCAAAACCCATGGCAAACTCCCAAGGCTGGCTGAGAAGGTCCTACCCGCTCTCACACCAGCAGCTGGGACCAGGCACAGCTCTGATGTAGGCAGTGAAGGATGACCCAAAGGACTGAAGCAGAAATATGAGCTTCCTTTCGCAAACAGGAGCTGGGAGCCTCAGGCTCTTTTCCTCTACCCAGAGAGTCAAACCTCTCTCAGCGTGATATTTGCAAGTGACCCTTGTGAGGGCAGGTGTCTGTGCTGCTTGTGCAGGTGAGCTGGGTTTGACACACTGGGTGTGAAGCAAAGATACCTCTCCTAAGTCAGCCTCCCTGTTCATTAAAGCCAGCCCTCAGAAAAGTCTGAGCCAGCCTCCTAAGCACACTGGTGTAGGGAGGGTGTGAGTGGTGGTGGCACCAGTGAGGAATTTTTTTGGTCAGGATCAGTGGCAGATACTCCCAGCTGAATGCCCATTTTTGAGTGGAGGCTGGGAAGAACTCATGGGCTGCTGCCATGTGCAGTGCCAGAGGCGTGAGTGGCTTTTGGCTCTGCTCTAGACAAGTCACTTTATCCCATACTCACCCTGTCCCCCACTTTGACTTGCAGATCTTTGGGGGTCTTGTGTGGATCCTGGTGGCATCCTCGAAGGTCCTAGTCCCCATGCTGCAGGGCTGGGTGATGTTTGTCTCTGTGTTCTGCTTCGTCATGTCCATCTCCCTCCTGTGCCTCTACTTCTGCGGCGCTCACGGCGGCGGCGGCAGCTGCTGGGTCACCTTGGTACGTGCCTGTGACAAACCCTAGGGGTGGCTTTGTCACCAGCAGGGTGCTGCTGCTGCTCCCCAGCCGGCAGTGTGACTCCCTTGGAGGTGACGGTGTGCTCCTTGTTCCTTAGGATGCCATCTGCCACAGCACGGCAGCGCTGTTCTACCTCAGTGCCGCGGTGCTGGAAGCCTACACGACCTATTCGCTTGGCTTCTCCTTCTCCATACTCCTGGCACAGGAGTACAGGGAGAACATTGCTGCTGTGGTGAGTGCCTGGCAGGAGGGCAGGGAATGGCAGCAGGTGGCTCTGGAGTGGCCTCAAGTGCAAATCTGTGTTTGCACCAACAGTTTGGGGAGGGGGGAGAGAAATCAGTCACCGTCTCAGCATGCACGGGTGTCCCCAGACATGCGGCACGTCACGAGGCGTGGGCTCAGTGCTGGGGTGGCACTGTGCCCCAGAACACTGACGGGCTGCTGTGTTTTCCCATCCCAGGTATTTGCATTCGTGGCCACCCTGCTGTATGTGATCCACAAGGTGTTCTCGCTCCTGCGGTGGAAATCATCCTGAGGGCCTGAACAGCTCCAGCAACAACAGCTGCCCTCTCCAGGCTGGGTTTGGGGTTTGTTTTCTAATGTATAGCCTAGAAACAAGTAGCTTTTTATGTGGGATCTTGGTGATGAAGACAAGGAGCTTGCCAGAGAAAGGAATATCTTGGCACAATCTGTTTCCCTTCAATATCTTCCAGGCTGGGTACAGTTTGATGCTGGGGCCAAAATAAAAAAAAAAAGCCATCCAGTTTTAAAAAAACAGTATAGTTGGGTTCAAAGGGCTAAAATATCCCTGGACTTGACCTTTATGTATCCAGAGTTGTTACTGGTATCAGGGGAAAACGGAACAACAAACACCAAGGAGTACAAGTGTGAAACTGTGTCATTTTAATTGCTGTGTGCCTATTTGAATGTGTTTCCCCCCTAAAACCACTGTGCAAATTAATATTTTCAAGCAGTTCCTGAAAAAGCCTTCTCTGACTTGCAATGAACAATGGGGACAATATGTAACTCAGCTCAGGAGCAATGTGGAGCTCCTGTAGCTCCTGAAGGGTGCTGCTGAATTCTGAGGTATGACTGTAAGGCCAGGAATTACCACTGCCCTCGATCCCAGCCCTACAAAGCACAACCTGGAAGGGGCCCAGTGGGCTGTAGGAGACTTCTCTGGGTGGTCAGAATCAAATCCTCAGCAGGCAGAGGCAATCAACTCCTGCATTTGGTGAATGCTACTCTCTCACACTGCCATGGTGTCACTAATAAAGATGGGTTTGCTGTGATTTTGAGAACGGGTGAGTCCTTGCTGCTCTTTTTCCCTTTGCTGCACCCAGCCCCAGGAGCTTTGCACCCTGACAGGCCAGTGCCACCACGGGGCTGAGTGAGTGGCTGGGTGGAGCTCAATTGCCAGCTGGGGTTAACCTTGACAATGAATTAATTCAAATGGGGTTTAGACCCAGGAAGGGATGTTTTCAACATCTTAGAGGTGCCTAAGAAACAGTGGTGCTAAATTATCTCTTCCACCTTATGGGGCAAAGTATGCTTCCATTTTTAAGTCCGAAGTTCCTGGATAACACTGAGGACTAGAGGACAAGAGGGAAATAAAAGTTGACTTGGAGGCTCCTCTGTTGATTCATATCTGGGCAAACTTTTGACCTGTGACCATGGGTTTGGTTTGAAGCTTTTTAATTGCAAACTAAGGAAAACATTTGTGGAGATTTTTTGTCTTTGCTGAAAACCAGCCTGACTTGTTTTGCTTGTGTTACTGTGACAACAGGGAACTGCTTGCAACAGAGGTGGAAAGAGAAATCCCTTTTCAGGGCAGGGAGGGAACTCAAAAGCCACTTTGGACAATGGCACATGGCTCTGAAGTTCCACATCCACCTGTTGAAACTGGTTTCACCATCCCATCATCATGGGGTGTGTGTGGGGGTGTTGGTGCCCAGGTTCTCTGAACGCCCCTGAATGTGACAAGGGAACACAAAGATGCCTTTCTGCTTGGATGTGTTTACAAAGGCAGGGATCTGCAGCCCTACCCTGGGCCTTGGCATGAGCTGTCTCTGTTCCACCTGTGCCCCGCACCCGTGCACCCAGCAGTGCTGCCTGTCCCCTCACCTCCCATCCTGTGCCTCATGGCCATCCCATTTACAGCCCACGCCTTGGCACAGCCCCAGGCTCCTTCCTTCTGCTTTGCTTTGTCCTTTGCTTTCCCCTTGCCTGCCACACACCAGTTCACACCAGTCTGCACCAGTGCCCCTCTGTGTCCTCTGTCCCACCCTGTTTGCTGAGTGCCTCCCCCACAGCCTCAGCCCAGCCTTGCTGGGAGCCAGCAGTGGGGAAAAGCAGCCGGGTGCTGCTGGCACGGCAGTGTCCATCGGCTGGACGGACACTGAGGGAGGCTCTGCGGCCCCAAGGTCACCTGGGGAGGGCTGGGCATATGGAAGGGACCCCTGCCCCCACCACTCACAGAAAATGGAGCTGGAAATTTGATACCCTCCTGGTGTGACCCCAAGTTCAACCCCAGGCAGGGGAGCAGGGGGAAGGGGGGTCCCTGCTTGGCACAGGCTGCAGGGCCCCAGCAGGGGACACTGGGAGGGCTGGCTGCTGAATTGCAGCAATGTGCACCTTCCCTGCACAGTGGAAAGAAAATGACACAAAAGAGGTTAATCATATCCAGCTTTCCTGTCATCTCAACACCACCCCAAACACTGCCATCCGTGCCCTGGAAGCTGGGCAGCCCAAGGGAGCTGTCTGGAAAATGGCACACCCCCAGCACTTCCTGAAGGGAAAGATGCTGCCCAGAGCTCTCCCAGGACCTCCAGACCACATCTGCAGCACATCTCTTCCCCACAGAGAGCCCTGAGGGCAGCACTGACCCCAGAATTTGCTGACACGGCTGGAAACACGGGGCACAATGGACACTGCAGGCTAGCAAGCCTTTTCCTTCAGGGACACTTCCATGGGGCCAATGGCACTCTGGCAGGGCTCCCCAGGATGAGGGAAGGCTGGCCCTGCAGTTTGTTCAACACAGACACTGCAGTCCCTGCCTGCAGAGCTGGCCTGGCCCAAAATCCCTTGCCCTGCACTTGCTCAGGAATTCCCAGATCCCCCCCAGACCGGTATCCCTCCATTGCTGGGATTCCCTTGCAGATGTAACTGCCAGATGGAGCAGCCCATTTAAAAAGCCACAAATCAGGATTTTTTCAGAGCATTTACAAGTGCCATTCACACTGTTGAAACACTGGGCCTATTGTGCCCCTGCAGCCACCACCAAGTTTCATCTGCTTGTGTCAGTGGAATCCTCATCTCTGCTCTTCTCCAGCTTCCTCAGCAGGACAAGGAGGTCTGCAGGCACCTGCTCTGGAGAGCAGGCAATTACATGCTAGTTAAAGCAATCTATGCACCTGAAGGCAGGCAAAGCCTCAGTTCCTAATAAAAACAAGATTGCAGACATATTCATTAACTATGCCCAGATCGTAATCTTGGTTGCTCTTGCTTAACTAAGTGGTTTAACCACCCTGTTAACTATTCTCCAAATATTTGCATACTGGATACCTTGCCTCCAGCAATGCAATGAGTTAGGAGAACCTCCATCTTCTCCTGAATTGCAGGAGAATTTGATTTTTAATGGAAAATTATGACCAGCTGCATGGAAAATGCAGGAGTTTCCCATTTTACAGCCAGCTTTGTCTGTGAGCAACGAGCAATCCATATGCTGGGTAAAACATCTACACAAGCCCCTGTGTTAATATGAACAAACCTGTGGGAACAGTAAAGCCACAAAAGGTTAATTTTATGTAGGGACCTAAGCTCAACAGCAGAGATGCCAGCTGAAGGTGAGCACACATTCCCCAACAGCAGCTTGATGTGCTGGGATAAGAAACTTTGCAACCTGAACACCTGGAAATCCCCACTGAAGGTATATTTTGACTGAGGTATTGAAGGTATTTTTTTTTCCTGGCAAACAGGAAAAAACCTTCATCCCACTGCTCAGCAGGCATGGCCTTGGAAATAGAATTTTCATTGCAAGTGAGATAAAACTCAACTAAATTCACCCTGCCTGTCTGTATATCCACAACTGCTGTCTTTAGAAACCTGCATTGAAATCAGTGAAAAACACTGCTCCTAAATGTCTTTACCATCAGAACTCCAAATGTAACTCTTGAAAGACTGCTAAGGTATTTTCTCCCATAGTAACAAAAGAGGTGGCCCAAGCCTCTTTTGGCATTTGGGGAAATGCCATGACAGGCACTCACAGACTGGGAGGGACAGAACTGAGCTCCTGAGCCTGGGCAGTGGGACACAGGCTGCACATGAGCCCCCACTGCTGCTGCTTGCTGCAGCACCTCCCACACACCAGCACGTAGCAACAACAACAAAAAAAAAGACCCAAACAAACCCAAACTAAACTCACTCTGATGATTCTTTATTGCTTTCACTATCTTGAATTTTCAACAGTTTCCCAAGAGCTTGTGAAAGAAACATGGACAAACCATCCTCTGGAATGGAGTAAATGCATGCTTGAAGCCCAAGGCTCATTCTCTGACTGCTTCCATCTGAACATTCCCACCTGGACAGGCTCAGAGGAATTGTGGGAAAGCAAACAGTGCTCCTGGATGGCAGCAGTGACACGGACAGCATGAGACAGCTCCTGCTGCCCTCCCTGGAAGTCAAACCCAGTCAGCCTTGTCTTGAGCCAGGCTTTGCCAGCTGCTGTGAGCTGGAGACACCACGGCGGGACCGAAGTTGTCAGCACGCCGCCCGTCTGACCCTGGCCCAGGGGGATTTCAGCATTCCCTGCGCTTCCTTCACCTCCCTCCACTCCAGCTTTGTGTTGGGAACCTCATCCTCAGGCTCGGGCTCCTCCCGGACAGGCCCCTGGGGCAGGGCCACCACGATGGGCAGGGGGCCCTGCTCCTCCCGGAACTCCACCACGTAGAGGCTCTTCTGGTCTGCCAGCTGCTGGTGAGTCTCCTGGCAGCAGGGAAAGGACAACCAAAACCAGGATGAAAACTAGGATGGCTTTGCTTCAGCCCAAAACCTACACCTGATGTGGGGCAGGGCAAAAAGGCCCCAAAAAGTCATTTCCCAATTAACAGTTTAAGCACTGTGGAAATGAAATGACTTGTTGGGCTTATCTTACTGGGCAGCAATTCAGATAGCCAGACCTCAGGTACACTGGTCAGCCCTACAGTGTCATCCCAAAGGAACTTGCTTCTGGAAAGACATACCCTGCTCATAAACATGCCTGTTGGCAGGAACATCTTTGTGTCTTTATGTGGATATAAATTTTGCTTTGGTAACAGAAAAGTGCCTGTTACTGCCCAGACAGGTGGCATTAACTAACATAAAGGTACATTCATAAAGACATGAATGCAACATTATTTTCAATTACACCTGTCCCTGGCCTACAAGGTGTTTTGATCACACTCAGATTTTACAGAGTAAATGTTTACAGGTGACAGGAAAGTTTTCCTTCTCAGGGCAGTGAAGAAAACATATCAAATGCATAACTCCAAAAGCAATAACTTATACAGCAAGCCTTTCTTCTGTTTGTTCTGTGGAAGATTGTCAGATACAATAATTAAAAGTACAATGCCAGACTTCCCCAAGTGTGACTGCCCTGAGGTATTGCTAAACTGGGAGATCTGTGACTCCCAGCAGGCAAAGAGGATCACAACCCCTCACCTCCTGAGGCTGAACTGATGACATTGGCCAGGACAGCGTGACAGATCTGACAGCTACAGCTCTCAGGGCTGTATTGGGAATGGAAGCAGCTAAACCTTGGCAGCCACCAAAACTGCAAACAAGGGAGATAACCAGGAATTTCCAGAGGGCTGACTCATCCTGAGGCTGCTGTTCAGAGGAAGTAGGATATAATGCTGCATGTTGGAGCTTTTCCATCAATTCCAGGCAGCTGGCTCAGACAGAGACATCTCCACTGTGAGCACTCAGAGGTGGAGGGAACACCACCACCACCTCCCTGGCTGAATTCAGAGATCTCAATTACAGCAGCAATAGAAGCAGCTGGGGCTTCAGTCCTTGCTCAATGAGAACTTGGAGCACAAACAAGCAGCAGTAACCAAACCTGGCCCACAATTCCCTCTGCCCAGGATTTTTCAGTAGTCACCAAAACCCCACCAAATGAAAGCCCAGGAATCCAGATGTCCCCTGCAGACACCTGGCTGTGGAACAGGCAGAGTCACACACAGCTCTTCCTGACTGGACAACTCCATAAAACTGCTGAGGAATGACCTCCTTTGCTGATTTTGTTTGTAAGATCACCTCATTTTAAGCCTGGAATATAAACTGTTTGCCCACAAACTGTTACAACATCCATCCCCTCCTGTCCCCATACCCAAAGGGCACTGGGAGTGCACCCACCTGTAAGGTCAAGCCTCTAAAGAGAGCTCTGGTGATGTTAATCAAGTTTTTGGATCCAGTGACCTTGGCATACATGTCCTTAATGCCAATTAGCCTGCAGAGGGTGATAATGGCTCGGTGGCAGTGCAGGCCATACCCTGGGGGAAAAACATAAATGAGCATTGTGTGATTATTTATAAATACACAATTTAG